TCTGTGAGAGATATAGGGTAGTCCCATATACATCTTTCTGTGTATAGTGCTTGTAACTTTACGAAGAATGGGCCAAATTTCTTATCATTTTGATGATTTCAGAACCTTGCAGATGCTAGATGCTAGATGATCAACCTTTTCTGATCGATTCCACAACGTTTATTTCACAATGCAATCGCATGACCATAACTGGTCTTTACCTTTAAGTAATAACCAGTGTATTAACGACGAAACTCCCATAACCATAACGTTCTATGCAAAAATAAAAATGACAGCTGGCATCACAATACACCATGTATACAGCTAACGAAGTGAGCCAAAAATAACAATTGCTAAGACGCACTCTTTTGTTAACGGCATCGGATAATAAAGGGCACGGGTATGAAATATAAACAATCATTTTATGATCACCTGCTATCTTGTTAAAGCAGCTCACGTTATTTTGATGAACAGATTATGCTCGGTTTCGCTACGAAATCGAGTCATCTTCTTGATAAAACAGAAATGATGCGGAAATTCGTCTCGTATCAGGCATGTGTATCGTTTCGCATAATTTATAACGTTCTGTAATGATCTTTCATCTTAATTAAGGTTGGATATAAAACAGTGGGAGGCAATATAATTAGGTCCACAATTAATGAACCGGGATTAACAATGAAGGCGTTTAGAGTGTACATTATGGGTGGGGGGGGGGGGGGTCTTGCCTTCCTTAAGAACCCACACACACAAATGTGTTGTTGTTGTTGTTGTTAATGTTGTTATAGTTTGTCAGTGATTTTCCGATACCCCCCGGCCCCCCCCCCCCCCATTTAAAAAAAAAAAAAAACACTGGACCTCTCCCTGGTTTAACCCCATCCCCTCAGACTCTTCTATCGTGATTAATGAGGCTCACACATTATGTAAATATGTCATAACAGTAACACTATACATGAGGGTAAAAAGAGATAATAAATCTTCATAAACCGTTTATTACTATTTTGTTGTGCTGAATTCCAGTGCTGCCCGTATCAGTCAAGTATGTACCCCTCGTGGGCCCCAAAATTAATAAGACTGGAATGACAGCGAAAAATTATGTGAGCGTTTTTAAATGTATTCAAGGGACGGTTAAATTATTACGTGTTTTTCATCAAGCTGAAGGAGACTCATGTTATAGTTCCATGCATCTCAGTGACCCAGCCTAAACACTGAATGGCTCGTGGAGAATATTAGAATGAACGAACAAATTAATCAATTTTGAAAGAAATGTGCTAAGGATTTACGACACATACTCCAGTGACAATATTGCTCCGCTGTCAATTAAATTAAAAACACTAACCGAATTCTATACCTAACCCTATCTATAGTCTAACCCAGTTTTCATCTTGAACATTAAATCTTTATTTTTGAAAAAAATAAATTTCAAAGCAATTGTCGCCTGACCAATGACGAAGCACCATGCTAGCAGATATATCACAATTCTTTTAAATTTCATATTATTTGTCTATGTAACAATGGAAATCCGTGGTATGTATATGGTATATGGATACACAAACATATACATTCATTCAAATATACATGTAGAAACATTACCTTTTCCAAGTGCCCACTGTATACAATTTTGCAGGTTGGGAATATGCCCTTCGACGGTATGCAGTGCCAGCAAAAAAATCTTTATATGTTTATGATATGTACATGTATTACCACAAACCATACATATTGCTGTTGGTTATACATTAACACAGATGCAAATGCATGAATGTCCAAAAGGGCGTGCATTTTTTGATTTTGTCTACTTTAACAGTCAGGAAAGAGGAAGCGTATACAGTCATGTGCGATATATTTTAAAAGTGAGGAGGGGCGATTAGAAGGGGGGGGGGGAGTTGTTTCCTACCTAGACTTGCCAATGACATTCTTCAATACTCTGTATATAGACATTATTTCATAAGCAATTTTGTTATATTTTTCCATGCTAATGATCCTACAGTATATTAGAAATGGGTCAATTTTATTATGACATCTTTATATTGCTTTTTGAAATATTTTTGTGTGATAACTTATTAAGGCAGTTATCCTAGAAAACATGACATTTTGGAAAAGATCATGTATTTGTCAAATACAGAAAACCAATCAACACCTGTAAAGTGAACACTTTCATATGAATTTTCATTTTAAATCACCTATTTTCGGAAGATACCAGGAGGAATAGATATAAAACTATCAAAATGGGTGAAGCACATCGTTATGCATTACATAATTTACTTAATTATCGACATGTCGAATATCTTTCATTACTATTCATGCCATTTATAATGAGTGCAGTAAATGGTGCTCAAGTGTGAAATTCATTGTGGCCGATTAAAATAATGATAATAATGAATACAAACAGACACGGGTATAGGATTCACCTTCAAATCTACACCACTAAATAGAATATATACAACTAAATCATTCATACCCTTACCAAGATTTGAGTTTTTTGAAGAATGTGAACATTTTATTTGTCCCCATTTGTGTTTCATGAGAATGTGACATATTAAAGCTTACATCTAAAAGTATTCAACAAAGGTCCTATCTCAATCATTCTTTCTTTTTTTAATATTTTTTTTACTGACGATTTATTATTGAATTTAGTTCTTATCTATATCACTCTCCAAAATTGTATTCAAGCCATGGGCCCCTCGATAAACATGCACACTAGAGGTGACTTCTCATCAATGTTTATCACCATGGTAACAAAGTGGTCCGACAATATAGATAGATGTTCATGGAACTTTCAATTAATTAAGGCATAAATGAATAGGCCACCTCATCGGAGCATCAGCGGCGAGACATAATATAATGTCTGGTGCAATGCTTTTTCTGCCATGATAGAATCACGCTCGTTGTATTGCCTGACGTCGCACAGTGTCATTTGACTGGCCCTTTGACGCAAAAGTGTGACATTTTTTGTACAAAAAGTGACTGGAAAATGTAGAGTGTAATCAGGGAGGCTTCTACCTCCCTAGTATAATCATTGCGTTGAATGACTGGTATGTGCACTGACTGACCCAACATAATTATGGCAACACGAACACGATGCTTCATTACCCTAACGTATAGCCTATGTCACTGATACGCAAAGATAAGGTTGACAACTGCGTTAACATTATTGGCGTATGGGCTAATAGCCTTCACAGGCTCTCGATTGGCGCAAGCAATAACGCATTTATAAGTAACGCATCGTGGGCAATGGGCATTGCGGCTCCAGAAAATGAACCGGTTGACTCATCGTCTTCCAATCTTATTCTATGTCCATGAAAATGGCAAGACGAGGACAAAGTTCAAACAAAACGAAGTTTATTTGACGTAACTGCATACACACTCTGTACCAACTAAGTAAACATAGATTGTATAATTCAAACGGATGAGTATCTAGCCCATGCCAAACAACACTGTAAGTTCGAATAACCATAACGGGTTATTCAGTCAATACAATAGCTCTCCAGACTTCAGGAGAGCTGAACATAATAAAATACAATAAAATGTATAGGCCTAGTACAGTTAATAACTATATTACTTATATCTTTACCAAGTTTTTGTAATTTTTCTAGTATGTGAAAAATTGAGTTGTCCCGATTTAGGTTTCTTGAGAATATGACGTATGAAAGGTTATATTGCAAAGTAATCAACAAAGGCCCTAATTAAAGCCAGTCCACCTATCATTCTTGAGTTAAGAAAACCACAAAAAATTCAAGTTCACAAGGCTATGAACTATGAAGTATGAATCCCAGACCCGTTAGAGCGGCACATCCGCGTATGTCTTAATATATGAGTACCCCCCCCCCCCCCCCTCATCGCTGGGCTATGAATAATTCAGTTTTTTGTTACTGTTTCTACTCTGATCCTGAGTGAGATAATAGATATCTATCACGAAATAGTACGTTTACAGAATATAAAAACAGCGACATGCATACATTGTAGTGAACGTAATATGCTCCTCTTTTGAGATGACAACATGCGCTATATAAGGACGAACTATTATTATTATTATTACTAAAAGTCGAAATCACAAATCCTTCTTGTATTTATAACGCGTAACTCTCCCATTGACAAGCTGGTTCTGGTGTGTATTATCATATTTGTAACTATGCGTTTGTTCTTTCAGTACACATCATTTACTCAAAATTCATCAATTTCACTGACTCTCACATGGAGTACATTATGCTTCCATTATAATGTATGGTTTTAACTTTTAGTTATCCTCTTAATGAATAACTTCGTTCCAAACATGTTCCATGATGGAAGATTTGAGCTATTTCATTTACAGCATTATATTAGCTATATTTTAAATGAAGAGCTTTTACAAATGACATGAAATCATAAAACGATACAAAATGGCCGCATTGGCAATATACATTTCATACACTGTAATATAGAGTAATGTTGACTTAAAATAGAAATTCATAATCATATCCGCTTTTCTCACAAAACCGGTTCCTATCCTAAACCTCCTGTGAAACTTTCAGGTCGACTCCCTTTGAATGCGTCAATCATAACTTGAGGGTGTTAACAGAGGGGGGGGGGGGGGGGGGGGTTCCATGTTTTCACAGAGGAACATAATTAAACACAGCCAGAAAGTATATAGAATGATATATGTGCTGGTAGAGCTGGAGACAAGTTAGGAACCCCTTTTCAAGCCTAGTTAACCACTATCCGTGACGAAGGGAACAAAAGCACAGGGTATGTGAGTTAACACCTCCCTGAAAAGCACAAAACATTCCGAGATTCAATGGAAAAAATGGAATCGTTGAGTCATCAACCTGTAGATAAAGCACAACAAATTTTGCTGATAATGCAAATCTATGAAATTTTGTAGCCGCCACAAATCAAACAAATTACAGTACAATTCAGAACAACAAGCACAAAATGATGACAATGCATAAATGTTTCAACACTATTCGCATAATGTGGGGGTGGGGTTATAACAATGATACTACTAGATTAAATACTAGAATATTTTTCCTTAATTTATTTGTTTTTACCTGTCGCCTGGATCTTTTCGGGTAACACGAACAGAATCATGAACCCGATGGACAGAAATCGTAACCACCGAGGCATTGATGACCATGTCTGCCGTGCCTGGGCCGAGGGTGATCCACTGATGCTGGTGGTGGGCATATATCGCTGCTTCGGACTAGCTCTCCATTTCTCCATGTGAACGAACATGCACGCATTGTTGCAGGGTGCAAAGGCGATTGTCTGGCTCCGTCGTCGGCTCGAGAGAACTTTTTGGTTTTCTTCCTCAAATGATTCAACTTTATTCTTGACCTTATTCACAAGTACACGTCCTCTAAAGTTCCGGTAAGGAGGATTCACATCACAGCATGAAACGTCCTAGGAACATGATCAGATTGCACGACTAGTTACAACAGATCTATTATCTATTATGAACTGTACAATGCAAAGACAGATCTATTTCCTTTCTGCATGCCATGATCCACGGCACAATGTGGGCAGACGTCGACCAGCTGTATTATGCGGGTACAAGTAAACACAAATTTAGTCTCATAAAATAGACCCTTTCAACTTAATCATTGATATGTTTTGCGCTGCTCCCCAAGAATATTACGGTAAATCCAAATCCTTACCAAGATATATTCAGATACGGTTGATCGTTGATCATTAATGCCAAAAAAATCTTCTTCTATTTAAAAAAAAAACCTATAACATATTTGAACTGAAGTCAGTTGCCTGATTCATAGGCTAGAGAGGGAATAGTGTTTTCGAGAAATGTTGACAGTTTACAAGTGGCAAAAATAGATTCGCTCATAACATAATAGGGCATTCGTATGTTCACCCAGGGGGGGGGGGGGGGGGGGGGGTGGGGGGGGGGGTTCCCTGTCTTTAATTTAAAGGTGGGCGAAATGCAAAAGAGAAGACGGCCACATATTGAGGAGGAGTGGGGGGGGGGGGCGGAAGGAGTCTTTCCCCCTTCTCTTCATCCCTTCCTCTTATTTCTCAATTTACCCGTGCGTAGCGGCGCCACTTTGTGTATTTACATAAATGCTTAAAATATATTATTCGCTTTGCATATATGCGGATAACTCATTGAAATTAGTGATGTTCCACATTATTACTAGCAATTCAGGTGAAGTTTAATGATGGAAAAAAAATCTCTAAATTTGATGGCAGGCGCGCATGAAGCAGTTTGGGATGGGGGAGGCAAACATTCCAGGGGCTCACCTTTCAGGAGCAGTGGCATAATGAGCAAAAACGTTGGGGGGGGGGGAGGGGCGTGCACGTTTGGGGGCATATGTTACAGGCATGCCCCGCGTGGAACGTTTTTCAAAGCGGAGCATTAACTATCAGGTAGAGCGTAAATTGGCGTGGGGTCCAGGGGCATTGCCCTGGCAGGGGTCAAGGGACGGGGTACCCGGAAGCTTAGGGGTTTTAGGCATTTCATTACGGTCAAATAAGCATATTTTGATAACTGATTTGTGAAACTGGCAGGTCACTAATTGGCCGGGGGGGGGGGGGGGGTCCAGGGAACGGAGCCCAATGAAGCTCAGGTTTTTTAAAGTTATTTAATTACGGTCAGATGAGCATCCAGGGGCCCATCTTAGGGCCCTTGGTTGATACGTTCAGGGGACAGAGCCCCCGGAAGCTCAGGTTTTTTAAAGGTATTTAATTACGGTCAGATGAGCATCCAGGGGCCCATCTTAGGGCCCTTGATTGGTACGTTCAGGGGACAGAGCCCCCGGAAGCTCAGGGGTTTTAGGTATTTAATTACGGTCAGATGAGCATAAAAGGGCCCATCTTAGGGCCCTTGGTTGGTACGTGGGGACAGAGCCCCCGGAAGCTCAGGGGTTTTAGGTATTTAATTACGGTCAGATGAGCATCCAGGGGCCCATCTTAGGGCCCTTGATTGGTACGTTCAGGGGACAGAGCCCCCGGAAGTTCAGGGGTTTTAGGTATTTAATTACGGTCAGATGCCCCCACTCCTTCTTTCTTCCCTCCATCCTCCATGATCCAATTCTACTCTATTTTCATTTTGAAATTTATTTCATGCAAAATAGCTTACCAATTGACCGTTTTACAATATCTACACCAAAATTACAAAAATTACAATCAAACATTGCGTTATTGATTTAAAGTTTGCATCTACTTACACACCGTATTGGTTTTGAATTTGATTACGAGAGATTTTCACAACATTCCCTGTTTTATCTCCAACAGACTGCACATTGAGACTAACTGTATCTGATATCAAGAAGGGAAAAAAAGTAATAAATGGTTTTCATTCATGTGCCTCACCAAAACGTGTCACATTCAGAACGTGGAGAAAGGCTGCTGACCTTTGAAAAGTTGGTAGATTGTTCAATGTGAATGTTTAGCATTTGTAGTGTAGTGCCCTCTTTCGTCAGCAGAACGCACAGGCAACTTAGATAGAAACGGAATGGTAGAAGGAGGGACAGGAGATTAGAGAAAAGGGGACGGAGGGGAAAAGTGAGAGCAAGGGAAAGAAGAGAGAATGAAGAGGAGAGAGAGAGAGATAGATAGAGAGAGAAAGAGAGAGAGAGAGAGAGAGAGAGAGAGAGAGAAAACAAGAGAGAGAGAGAGAGAGAGAGAGACACACACACACACACACTCAGACAGAGAGAGAGAGAGAGAGAGAGAGAGGGGGTGGGGTAGATAAATATCATAATCATTATAAATTAAGGATTTTGTCAAATGTACTTGTTCATTTCAATTGCACATTGCATGCCGAAATTAAAATTATGCTATTGTTCTTGGCGAGCTCTAATAAATCTCGAAAAATTAAACATAGAATGTCGTTGAAATAGCTTTTACAAATATTTATTACAAGCAGCTCAAAAGTTATAATAACAATATATTTGTAACGAGATTTAAATTGTGCAGCTACGTATGAATATTATCATCAGTGTTTGTCAATTTACATTTTATTGCACAACACAACAAAAACAAACAAACACAGAACATAGTTGTGTGTTAATGAATTCCAGTATTCAAAATATACAAATATTAATTTTGTTTATCGAAAAATACAAAAGTTATAATGTACATTATCTCAATGTTAAAAGGAAGAAATTAATGATAAAGCAAGATAACAAAAAAGAAAGAAAAGGAAAACATAAGGATAAAAATGAACTTCGTTAATGGTATAAACTGTAAAAGATAAACTACCACAAAGACACTGAAACAAATGAACAATTTCATATAATATTGAGAAAAGTATTTGATGGATGAACAAGATAAATATAATTATTACAAAAATCGGGTCAACAAGAGGAAAGTAATTTATATATATTTTTTTAAATTGGCATAAGTTCCTGTAAATTATAGACTAAAATCACATTCCACAGCGATAAATTTTTTAATATCTCAAAGAAAATAGAACATTTCTTTTAAAGATATCGTTAAAAAACAAATATCTTATTGTTTTGCTCCGGAATTTCAGGCATCCAATAAGTTTATTGAAAATAAATCAAAATCATTTCGAACCCGTTTAAATCTTGCGCTTCTTATTTGGAAATTTATATTATATTAGATTTTGTTCGTAGTATTATATGTCTTTCAATAGAGGATACGCAGTGCCATCAATTCTCGTTATGAATAAAAATCCTATAAATAATTACAGCCTTTAGACAATCAGACTTCACGAAACGTAATACCCCTCCAAGAAATAAAGTATTTTTGCACTGAAAATAATCCCCTTTCAAATATTACATTGATAGATTGTCCAGGCCAATGGCATATTTTGAATGAAATATGAGAGACTTTTGACCTCCTTATTTTGCCAAGTGTATTTGAGGAATTCACTGCCAGTGACCGCGGAAAAACCGAAAGAAAAAAAGGCCAACCCCTACATTCGGGTCGTTGCTTCAGGGGCTCCAGAGGGCGGGCAAAATAATATGGGACTATCGTAAACATCTCAAGCAAAGAAACCATTTATAAGCCACGCGGAATCATCATCAAATTATCAAAGACACAAAACGATCCTGACGGATTGGGATTGCATACTATTTTTTCATAATTACTTTGTTTTTATTTCGATAAAATTGAAACCATACTTCAACATATCCGACAAATACTTTGCATTAATCCATCAACAATATTTGCATGAATTTTACAAAAACATTTACAAAATATTTACAGGAATTATAAACATTGCTCAGAAGGAAGAATTCAGTAGTGTTTAATCACCTTTATCTGAGCGGATGATGAAAATTCTCTTCATCACAATCATCATAAATCGAATCAAGTAAAATAATAATCTTTCAAACAATGTATGAATGTTGGATTAGCTTGATTGTTTCAGGTAATTAGTGTTATGACATAGCTTTAATTTTGGCGAACACTGTACACTTTGGTTCAATTCAATTCAATTCAATTCAATTTCGGTTTTATTACAAATATACCAAATAAAAAGTCCAAAGACTAAAAATAATTGGCTCACAATGTTTTTTAAGATAAATACACTTTTACACCCATGCAGCATGAATGTATCCTTAGTAACTATATACATGTAGTAAGGCTTATTTTTCCTTTAAGGTTATTAGGAACGAACCTAAAAGATGAAAGATAATGATGCCTTTGTATCGAAATGATGTTATGACTGTCATGCCTGGAAGAAATGAATATAAGCCTGTCCATTGGGAGACAGATATGAAAAGAAGCGTTGTCTGATCAAAACATGAATCATCAACGACTGGACAAAAAAGGGGTATTTGTCTACTTATAAGACAGGGCGTGGATGATTGCAAGATGACTTTTCCATAACGTATAACTATATACAAAAATACATTCTTTTCATTCTTGTGCTTTAATATTCTACATTTTCATGTATAGAATATGTAAAGAAGTGTAAGGAAATGGCATCAGCTTTAAGAATTCTCGTGAAATTAAATACAATGTGAAAAGATATACGACTACTACTACATCTACTACTGCTACTTCTACGACTATTATACTTCTGCTACCACTACTACTACTAGTTATAGTAATACTAATAGTAGTACAGTAGTAGTAGCTACATTTATATTGCGCACGTATCTATTCCAGGAGATGATCAAGGCGCCTACAAAGTATAGTATCATTACCCTGCCTTTAGCCCAGCCACCTTAGGGCGTTAAGAGCATTCCTACACGGTAGCCATTTACTAGACCCGGGCGGAGAGTGGCAAATGTAGACCAATGTTTATTAATGCAACGAATGCCCCATTCTTAATACGGTCATCAGGTATATACTTAAACCTTAGATATGGTCAGCAACGCATGGGACAACATAGCTTGGACGTACCCATGCATTTTCCTTCTCACTATTACAGATCGTAGGGGCTGCCCACCCCGCTTTTCAAAGAAAGATAACAAAATCATGTTCAGCAATTTAGTTGCTCCAGAAACGAGGAAGACTAGCTTCATAGCCTTCTT